TGTGAGTGTGTGTGTGTGTGTGTGTGTTAAATAACCTGCAGGCTTCATGACTCTGCCTTTACTGTTGACGTATCCCACACATGTCCACAAACCAGGAAGTGTTGACAGACACGGAGAGAGAGAGACACACACTGAGAGACAGAGAGAAAGAGAGAGACACAGAGAGAAAGGGAGGGAATAAGAGAGAGAGAGAGACACACAGAGAGGGAGGTGCAGAGGGAGTCTCTCTCGCCCTGCGTTTTCCCAGAGGACCGTTGCCACGGAAGCACGGAATTGTTAATGAGTTTCCAGCGGGAGGAAAAGTGAACGAGAGAGTTTGTTTCAAACTCTGATTTCTGGCAACAGCTTGGAGTTTAGTTTCCTCTCCGGATCGACTTGTTCGTCTGGGACTCGATCGTTTACCTGAAGCTGGTTCTTCCTGACGGGCCACGTGAGATCTGTGTGTGTTTACCTCCGCCGAGACACTTCCATAGAGACGCTCGCTCAGCCCAGGGATGTTCGCTCTGATTCATTCGCGCCTGACGACGATGAGACGCGTCTCTAACTTCTCACAGGACGCCGCTTAGAAGACGACATGGATTCCTATCGGGCGTATTGGGATTCGCAGATCCTGCGCGACAGCTGGCTGGAAAGCCAGGACATGGATGTTTACGAGGTGGAGTCGCGCATCCCGCTGCCGCGACCCTTCCCTCTGAGCGACCTGCTTCACGAGAAGAACGCTGTAGTCGTGCAGACGCAGATCTCGCACGTCAACCGGCGCGACAACAGCCACCTTCTCAAAGTCGTCTCCAAGATCTCCCTGCCCACGCCGCCGTATACAGTAAGAGGATGATGCCAGAGCTCGGTTTTGACCTTTGGTGCGCTCGGTTTGAGAGGGAAAGGGTTTTACAGCGTGTGTGTCTGTATAGTGAGATAAGAGGCCCGGGAGCTTTTGTAGACGTTGGCTGGGCTGTAATGAGATTCCTGGGTGTGTTTGTGTGTGTTTTGTGCTCAGACTCTGGTCATACGAGATCAGGCGCGCTGTCGTGTCACAGAGAAATCCTGGCTTTTGTTGAAGCTCCTCACAAGCTTCACATGAATGTGTGACCACATGAACAAAAATACGAGCTTGTTGACATTAATGTGGCTTTCATTTGTGTTTTCAAGACTGTGTGTGTGTAGCATTAAAGCTGAACAATAATACTGTTCAAAGGTTTGGGGTCAGTACGATTTTTAAATGTTTCTGAAAGAGTCTCTTCTGCTCACAGAGGCTGCTTTATTTGATCATAAATACAGTAAAAAAATTTAAATATTTTTACAATTTCAAACAGCTGTTTTCTATGTGAATATCTGTTAGAATGTAATTTATTTCTGTGATGCGCAGCTGTATTTTCAGCATCATTACTCCAGTCTTCAGTGTCACATGATCTTCAGAAGTCATTCTAATATACTGATTTGCTGCTCGAGAAACATTTCTGATTATTATCAACGTTGAAAACTGAAAACTTTTGTGGAAACTGTGATTTTTCAAGAATCACAGATGAATAGAAAGTTCAAAAGAACAGCATTTATTTGAAATAGAAGTCTTTTGTAACGTTTTTACTGTCACTTTTGATCAGTTTAATGCAGCCTTGATTAAAGTATTCCTTTCTTAAAAAAAAAAAAAATCTTACTGACCCTAAACTTTTAAAAGAATAACATCATAAATGTAAAATTTAAAATATGTAAATGATTTTAATATGAAAGCAATCGAAATAAAACACTTAATAAAATTATTTATAAAATCATGAAAACACTCAATAAAAATAAATTATTTTAAAATATAAAAACAATCGAAATAAAACGATAAAAATTAAATAAATGATTTTAAAATAAAACACTTACAAAAAATTAATAAAGCATAAAAATGCTAAATTAAAATAAATGATTTTGCAATAAAAACAATCAAAATAAAACATTTACTAACAATTAATAAAGTCATAAAAATGTTAAATTAAAATAAATCCAAACCAAAATAAAACAGTAAAAATGTATTATCTAGGCATTTATTATGACATGTTTTTAGCAATTCTTTAAAGTAATTTATTAAAGCGTTATTTCTCATTCATGACCCTCAAAATAGCTCACAAAATCACAATGAAGGCCATCAGACTATTATGATGCTCTGCTCGTCTGTTCATTTCTTTAATATTTCTATAACAGAATTCGCTCCAGAAACTCTTCAGTCGCTGACTGGGTCTCATAGAAGCAGATCAGCTTTTTATTGAACGTGTGCAGATATAAACCAATGTTTTTGATTACAGTGTATATTCTGAATGAGGTTTACATGATGCAGAAGCCTGATTAATGCCAGCTGTTTTTGACCATACTGACCACGTTATTTCAGCTGGAGCATGCGCGGATCACGCAGACGGAGCTGATGAGAGAGAAGTTCAGGCATAATGAGGAGATGGAGGAGCTGCAGCGCAGACAGGAGGAGCTGCAGGAGCGTCTGTGTGAGGAGGAGCGAGCTCGGGAGCAGCTGGCACTGGAGCTGCACAAGGCTGAAGGTGTGTGTGTGTGTGTGTGTGAGAGAGAGTGTGTGTTTGTGTGTGTGTGTTTGAGAGTGTGTGTGTGTGTATTTGAGGATGTGCTGGCAGCATGTGAGTGTGTCAAAGAGATGGGTTGTGTTTGCTTGTGTGTGTGTCAAGTCAAGTCACCTTTATTTATATAGCGCTTTTAACAATACAGATTGTATCAAAGCAACTGAACAGCATTAATTAGGAAAATAGTGTGTCAATAATGCAAAATCACAATGGTAAACACTCATTTTTCAGTTAAAGGCATTGAATTCAGTGATGTCATCATCCAGCTCAGTTCAGTTTAATAGTATCTTTGCAATCATTTGCAATCAAGTCAACGATATCGCTGGAAATGAAGTGTCCCCAACTAGGCAAGCCAGAGCGAACACAGAGGCGTGTGAGTGAGTGAGTGAGTGAGTGAGTGAGTGAGTGAGTGTGTGTGTGAGTGAGTGTGTGTGTGTGTGTGAGAGTGTGTGAGTGTGTGTGTGTGTTTGAGGATGTGAGGAGGATGTGCTGGCAGCATGTGAGTGTGTCAAAGAGAACGGATGTGTTTGCTTGTGTGTGTGTGTGTGTGTGTTTTAGTGTGTCTGTGTGTGTTTGAGTGTGTGTGTGTGTGTGTTAACAGCATCATAACCCTTGAATGTTTTTGACAGTACAGTGTCTTTAACTTTAGCTAACAGCTTTACATGAGCAGCTCTGTTTGTGTGGAGATGACAGCAGTGCAGCAGAGATTGATCTAGATCAGGGATTCACTAACCGTCTCGTCAGCCGAACACTTTTGAGCGAAAGTGTTTACTTTAAGTCCCCCAAATATTTAATGAAACACATTTGTATGTTCAGGGTTCTCTGATGCCAGTTAAGGGTCACATGAGTTGCAAATAAATATATTTAGACTTTTTTAGTAAGTGAGTTTTTTTTTATTTTAAAATAATTTATTTTATGATTTTGATTTTTTTATGATTTTAATTTTACACTTGTGATTTTACTGTTTTATTTTGATTGCTTTCATTTTAAAATTGTTTATGTATTTTACTTTTCATCTTTATAATTTTATTTGTTTTTATTTTTAAATAATGTGTTTATTTTAGTTTTGTTTTTATTTTAAAATCATATATTTATTTTAATTTTACATTTCTATTACTTGTATTAATTTTTACTAAGTGTTTTATTTTGTCTTTATTTTATTATTATAATTTTACAGATGTATTAATTGATAGTTATTTTCACCCCCTACAGTTCCTTCACAAAACCCACTTTGGGAAACACTGATCTAGAACAAGGGTCAGTTTTCTCTTTCACTTCTGAAGATGTTTAGGACAGACTGTTGATTGATCAGCCACTCTCAATGCTGGTGTGTGTGTGTGTGTTATGTGGATGTTTTTTTGGAGCCAGCAGTGGCTGGTACTTCAGCAAACACACACACACACACACACACACACACACCAATAGCTGGACATTCAGAGACTTTTCAAACAAACCAACATTTTTAGTGAGTTGTCAGGGTTACGTTTGTGTGTGTGTGTGTGTGTGTGTGTAAATTGCCATATTGTAAATGTTTGATTGCGCTTTAGCTTGTCTTTAGTTTGCTATTTAGCACTAAACATTTACCATAGTCACGTCACAAGATGATACGACAGAGTCCAGAGCACTAAACACACTCTCACACACACACGCACGCACACACACACACTCTCTCTCACGCACGCACACACTCACACACACACACACACACACACACACACTCACACACACTCACTCACAAACACACACACTCACACTCACTCACACACACTCACTCACAAACACTCACTCACTCACACTCACTCACTCACACACACTCACTCACAAACACTCACTCACTCACACTCACTCACTCACACACACTCACTCACAAACACTCACTCACTCACACTCACTCACTCACACACACTCACTCACAAACACTCACTCACTCACACTCACTCACTCACACACACTCACTCACAAACACACACACACTCACTCACACACACACACACACACACACTCACTCACTCACTCACTCACACACACACACACTCACCACTCACACACACACTCACCACTCACACACACACTCGCTCGCACGCACACACACACACACACTCACTCACTCACACACACTCACTCACAAACACACACACACTCACTCTCACACACACGCACACACTCTCTCTCACACACACGCACACACTCACTTTCTCACACACACACACACACACACTCTCTCACACACACACACACACTCTCTCTCTCACACACACACACACACATTCACTCACACACACACACACACTCACTCACACACATACACACACACACACACTCACTCTCACACTCACGCACACACTTGCACGTACACACGCACACACACACACACACACACTCACACACTCTGCTGTCACATGCTCTGCTGATGGTTTGTTAGGGAGTGTTTCCTGCGAGTGTTTGCTCTGCTGTCACTAATCAGTCATAATGAAGGTCAGCTGACTGTAATTCCACAACATCTCACCTGGTTTGTGACTGTCAATCATCTGTTACTAAATGATTAGGCGCAACATATTCACCATGAAACAGGTTTGTTGGGTTATTGAGGTGCAGAAGGTTTTTAATGACATTTAATCCTTTAAATTGTCATGAGCTGAATGTTTCTCTGTAATCTGATAGTAATGTCTTGCATGAATGAGCGAGTAGCTGTGGTGTTTGTGTTTCAGTGAGAATCCCTACAGGCCGTTTTCAAAGCCTTGCTGCTGTTCTTGTGCGAGTCTGTGGTTTGATCGTCTCTTTATGTCATTATTTCACCTGCGTCTGTACTCGGCTGCTCATTCTGTGTGTTCAGTCCAAATACGGCAGACGGGTTTGGTATCTAGATGTTAGTACATGACTGTCACGCTCCCACATTTACATGCATTTATTCAGCTTTACAACTGAAACCTTTAAATACATTTACATTTACAATTACATTTGCAACAGTTGTGTTGCGAATGTGTTTTTGCATTAAACAAACGCGAGGCGCAGGACAGTGGAATGGGAAAAAACACAGACACATTTTAAAACAACATAAAACTGCAGTGTTCAAAGTGTTTTATTTTGATTGTTTGTATTTTTAAATTATTTACTTAATTTTACTAAATACATTAATAAAAATGTAAAACAAAACCAATTATTTTAAAATAAAAATGATCAAGATAAAACATTCATTAAAGATTTATCAAATATTAAAAATGAAAAAAAAAAAATTTAATAAATGTTTTATTTTGATTTTTATATTAAAATATTTAATTTTAGTTTTATATTTTTTATTAATTTAAATTTTACTTGGTATTTTTCTTTTTCATTTTAAAATAACTTATTTTATTTATTTAAATTTTATTTATTTATTATTTTATCAATTTGTAAAAATCATGTTTTATTTATATATTTTTTTTTTTACATTTTTACTATTTTATTAATTTTACTAATTCAAGTAAGTTTTATTTTGATTGTATTTTAAAATGTATTTTCATTTTACATTTTTATGATTTTAATAATTTTTAATGTTTTATTTTTTTCAAATGTACTTATTTTTACATTTTTATGATTCTGTAAATTTAAATTTTATTACATTTTAAATATATAAAATAATTTATATAAGTTTTATTTAAAGAAGCGTTTTATTTTGATTTGTTTTTATTTAAGAATCATTTATTTTAATTTTTTCTTATTTTAAATTTTACTGTTTTGTTACTTTTGTTTTTATTTTAAAATCATATGTTTTATAATTTTTACGATAATACAAATTTTTAATAAGTGTTTTTTAATAATTTACTTATTTTTATGATTTTATACATTTTTAGTAAATGTTGTTTTTTAATTGTTTTTAGTTTAAAATAATGTGCTTTCAGTGTTTTTAAAAGGCAGTTTCATCCACGAAATGCTACAAAAGTAGCGAACGCAATGGCAAAAGACGTCTATCTAGCGCATGTTTAAATAGAAAAAACAATGGAAAAGCAGTGCAGTGCAAAAACACATTCTGTGTGCATCACTGTTGCTCATATTTCTGGTTAGTGATTCAAATAAACCTCTAAAAACTGAATAAGTCATGATGGCCAGCTAAAAGTTTTCTATGAGTGAGTTCAGCTTCATGCAGATGGTTTTGTGTATACAGTATGATTGTAATATATGATGTTTTTAGGATCAGTGCTTTAGCGGTCATGTTGAGACTGTTCTGTTCTCATTCAGGTTTTTTTGTTGTAGAGCTGTGTTTTCTGTCATGTGTGCCGTATGAAGCTCTTTTGTTTGCAAATGAGCTTAAACAGTGTCAGATCTCTCATATTCATGAGCTAAAGTATCTTATCTGTGCGTGTGAATGACTAACCCTGTGTGTGTGTGTGTGTGTGTGTGTGTATTCTGCTGTTTACAGGTCACAGTAAAACTATCAGGAAATGAGTTTTAGGACTTCAGGTCTCACTACAGTTTTGTTTTCCTCATAAATATTCAGAGTTGAAACAAAAATGTGGGAAGAGGTGACGGAGTTTAATGAGGGAGAATGAGAGGAGGATCAGTGACCTGGAACAGATTCAGGGCAGAAATGCTTGGTTGCCGCGTTCAGATCCTGTTAACCAAATACAACCTGACATGAGTGTGTGTGTGTGAGAGAGAGAGAGTGTGTGTGTGTTTGTGTGTGTGTTTGTGTGTGTGTGTGTGTGTGTGTGTGAGAGAGAGAGAGAGTGTGTGTGTGTGAGCGTGTGTGAGTGTGTGTGTGAGAGAGAGTGTGTGAGAGTGTGTGTGTGAGAGAGAGTTTGTGTGTGTGCACAGACTAGTCGACTTCAATGCTCTGCCATGACGCTTCAAGCTTGACGTCGACTAGTCGCTGGTCCTATAGAGGGTTCAAAATCTTTGAAGGAATTCCACATTTACGCTCCGCTTCCAAACAGTTCAAATGACAAATAAATGCATACTCTGAAAGCGCTCCACAAGACGTGTGTGATTATATTACTGGATGCTCGAAATTGAACGGGAGAATGCACGTTTTAAACAGCTTATTGTACAGGTAAGTTAATCGCCGTTCTAATCTAATGCGCTGCTGCACTGTAACGCACACACATAGGCTACAGACAGTAGCGCGTACATCACGCGCACATAATCATTCAGCGCGGAAATGTATTGTCAACACTGTTCAGTGATTTCTCAATAAAATAGCTTAGAAACTGAAAAAGTTCAAGCATATATTTCTTAATAACTAAATCCCACAGCTTCACTACTAGTAGAGAGACGCTGCCAGGTAGAATTAATTCACACACGCAATCGCTCTCACTAATGCATTCATATTAATGTAATCTTTACTGTGCTACTTTATCTGAATCTGATTTAGAATGAGCAGAAATCTGTGAGAAATATAACGACCCAAAAACAAAAGAACTGATAAAAAAGCTGTTATAGGAGCAACAGCCATGTGGGCAGCGCTGTCATATGCCATAGCTGTGCACAAGGTGTTTATCACAGCTCCAGACTTATTTGTTCATTAATGACGTCATCAGCGACTAGTCGACTTCGACTCGACTTTCATCACATAAAAGTCGACTTCAAAAAATCAGAAGTCGTTCAACCCCTACTCCATATGGCTCCGGTGCATTAATAAAGGCCTTCTGAAGTGAAGCGATGCGTTTGTATAAGAAAAATATCCATATTTAAAGCTTTAGAAATTGTAATCTCTAGCTTCCGCTAACTGTCGTGCA